ACACATGTGGTAAAAATGTCATGATGTCATGACAATCTGTCCACAAGTTTTTGAGTAATGTTGTCCACAGACAGAACGACAGACAGACAGACGTGACCGAAAACATCACCTCGCCCTTGGCGGAGGTAATATCATCACAAAATGCAAGACAGAGCACGTGTTGACAATGACTTTTAGCTACTACCACACCAAAGTTAGGCCTCAGTATCTGTAAAAACTTAATGAAATTCAGTGTATAATTAGTCATTTGTAAAGGTGCATTCAATGACTATATTGTGAAAGTAGAGGAAAAAACATCCGTATCCCCATTTTCAGTGTATAATTAGTCATTTGTAAAGGTGCATTCAATGACTATATTGTGAAAGCAGAGGAAAAAACATCCGTATCCCCATTTTCCTTTTCCTTTCAGTGACGGAGGACAAGAACAGTCTATATGTATGTAGGTGTAAGAACAAACATTTGTCATATATTCGAATCAAAGATAATAATATAAACAAAAACAAATTCATGCAGCTGAGATGAACAGATATTTACATGCACAATAACAGGAATTGCAACAACGCTAACAACACAGAAAGAAGAGAAGAATCTGATGTTTCTTTAGATTATTTTSAGTCTATAAGGGACATGAAGAGTCAGAGTTCATATTGTTTCAGAAAACAAAAATCAAGGAATTCCTCTTTGATGTCACTTCCTGCTTCACTTTGGCTGTGCAAAGTTAAATGAATAAAATCAGTTGTATTATACCAAATATCTTTAATATTAGGATGTTTTCTGCCACTTTTTGTGTTGGTATAAAATGCATGTCCTGAACCTTTAAAAACACGTACCTTTGGTGTCTGGATGAATCCAGGATGTGGCACAGTTGATCTTCAACGGACAGCCATCAAACACTTTAGAGAAACAGGCTCCCATCTGCAAAAAGAAGCAGCTCTGAACAGACAGGCTCTGGCTTTGTGAAGCACCAAAATGTCAGGATTTAATGAGCTGGAATGAACTGAACCACAGAGCACAGAACTCTGTGGAGCCCAAATATCTGCAGAATGTAGAGCAGCAGCCGCTCCGATGAGACTTTAATAACAGTGTCCAYAAAACCAGAGCAGTGGGGATGAGCTAAGACTGCACACAATTCACTCACCAATACTTTAGGAGTGGGTGGAAGGCCATTTATCGCTGGTTTCTGAGGAGCAGAGGAAACAAAACAAACATGAAGACACAAAGCAACAAGTTTAAATAGAAATCCATCATTTAGCTCTAGTCTTAACGATGAGCCATAAAAATCAAACAATACCTACTGCTTTTGTGTCAAATGTTCAACATAAATGGAAGCTAAAATGCTTTGCAGTTATTTGGAACTGAAGCACATTTATTGACTACGATGTGAAATATAAACTCACAGGAAATTCCTTTTTCTCCTTCCGGTGCTGCGGCTGTGGTTTAGAACCACCTCCACTTCCATCAGAATCCTCTGTTTGGAAAGAACAATCAGATCTGCAGTGTTATTGGGCTGTAACCAGRTTTAGTCCTGAAACTCTGTGCAGCTAAAACGCCACAAGCTCTTCTATCAAAATGAAAACTCTTGTGAATCTAAAAACCTCTCATGACTTTGGTGAAACATTTACTGAAAACATCTCCAGAACTGTGAATCCTCTGCGTGGCAGCAGTATAAACTAACTTTTCAGACACTAAGGACCAAAAGGATCAACTCAGACCGTGTTGTGAAGGCAGCTTCATCCACTCGTCTCCAGCCAAGTGTTTGTCTCTAAATAGTTACTTAGAACAGAACAGACATGCTGCAAAGTTGAGTTTGTTGACTCAGACRTAGAGAAAATAAAGTTTGAATCTCTTGTTAAAGCTGCATTCAAACCACACCAGAGTTCACTTCCAGTCCAGACCTGAGTTTTATAGGTCTGCATCAGACTTCGATTWAACTTTCACACCTTCCCGAATGAACCGCACTTTATAAGCAAACAAACCAGAGTTCAATTAAAGYTGTCTAAACTGCGCTGGTGTGAAATCATCCTCATTTTCTCTGTGTTTATCAGTGTGAGCCACTGTTCTGTGATGAAAATAAAAACACATAAAAATGTTTCACTGTGAAACCCACTTCAGTCCTGAGAGTTTCCAAGACTCAGATTCTAGGTTAGTAACTACAGAGACTGCCTTCATTTATTCTATCCATATCAACTTCTGCTTTTTTCTTGTCATTTTAAGGTGAAATGTTAGCAGCTGCATGAATTTTCATTCATTTTTTGGTCTTTGACCGTCCAAATCAGTTTAAGATAATAAAATGAATAAAAACTCTTATTAGAATAAAATTAATTTTACTTTTGGCCTCTTGAATTAGACCCCATGTTAAAGTCTGAAGTGACTTCAGAAACCAGACAGGAGAGTTTGTGGTACAAGAATTTCTCCTAATATGTTGTTAAAATGTGACCCATCACATCGAAACCAGGATTAAGTCCAAAAGTTGTATATGGAGAAATAGGCAAATATGTTTTGAC